TCTCTCTCTCTCTCTCTCTCTCTCTCTCTCTCTCTCTCTCTTGTAGTTTCTAAAATATAGTTCTCTCCATTGTGTTAGCACATTTTAATGAGCCTGTTATTGTATTATTTTGGCTATTGTTCAAATTACCAGGCCTCGCAAGAAAATGCTGTTGTGGATTTCAAAGATTGGCAGATTCCTCTTGGACGCAGATTCAGGTACCACCTTTCTTTGTGCATGTATAATGCTTGTTGTAATAATCCTGCCATATATATGTGTATGTGTGTGTGTACTTGTACCTGGGAGCACTTTGATACTGTGAGATTAAATATAATAAAATTTGAGTTTATTCTGTATGTGAATATTTCTTTCAGATGTTAGTGTTAGAAACTAAAAGAAAAAAGTTCAATACGCCATAGTTTTTTGGCAGTTTGAATATCCAAATTAACTTTTGAGAAAGTTTATCTTCAAATGTTAGCTATTTTGAAGTCTGTGACAAGACTTGTGATTAAGGTTGACTTGCCGTTTTGTTTTTCTGTGTGGTCCTGCATATGAGAATCAAATCCCATTTGCTTTTGTCAATTAGAGAGAGACTAATTTTTGACATGAAGTTGAAGGGTTGACTTATGGCATTATACAAAGATGCTGAATACCAGCAATGCACAATTATAGTTGTTATCATCTTTTTACATTCTTTGATTTTTAACACTTCCTAAATTTATGACTTATGGCATTACATTCTTTAACTTGTGACATTACACACGGGATATGTACACTGATATTGTATAATAGTCTTACTATATTATATATGTAGAGATTGGCCTTTTGCAATTCTCACTTGTAAGTTAGCTGGAAACTAAGTTGTTTGTTTAATCATATTGCACAATTATCACAATTGTGCAACTACAATACCGAGCTGTTGTCTTGGTCCCTTGAGCCTTTAACTCTTTAAACTGTAAACTCTTAATAAATGTTTTCTTCATTGCTCATATTGAATTGTTGTTTATTATAGTCTTGTTATAGGTCATTATATCATCCCCAGTTATTTGTCTTTTTAAGACTGACAGTGAACTCTATGTACTTGTTCAACATCTATATTAAGGTCCAATGACATAATTAGAGCTACTACTTGTTCGACATCTATATTAAAGTACAATGACATAATTAGAGCTACCTTGAGCTGCTTCTTGTTGAGCTGCCTGGCTATCCATAATCTTTTGTAGGCAAGCTATTCCTAGTTATTGCTTTCTTTTCCACAGGCATACTGTTCATTATTTAGTCAATTGTCACTGTAGCCAACATTATGTTAATTTGAGAAATAATACTTTCATAAGTTCTGCATTAAGTTCTGCATTTACTTTGAAATTGAAACTTTGTTTAATCTATTCCATTGTGGATAATAAAATGAATGGTTCATACAACACCTGGAATATCTTCCAAACTATTTAGGCCTCTATCTACTTATTGTATGATGTTACTAACCAGCAGACTTGCAATTTAATGTTTTGAGAGAAAATGAAGTGCAGTTGTTGTAATAGTAGTTCTGCACCACTCCATCTCATGTCCTACGAGTCATCTGCCACCTATAATTTTGGTACATTTGTCAATCTGATTAGATGGCATTGTCATCTAGTTATTATAATTTTTTTGTTTGTTAAGGATAAAGAGAGAAAGGAAATGGAAGGGTTTGTGTATACATCTGATTTAATGTAACACTGGAGGACAAAAATGTTGATTTCGACAGATTAGATTGTTTCATCATTTATTCGTTTTGAAATTGCAGGTCTTTAAAGCTATGGTTAGTTTTGAGGCTATATGGCGTTGCAAATCTACAAAGCTACATTAGAAATCACATACATTTGGCTGAACAATTTGAACAACTTATAACTTCTGACTCAAGGTTTGAGGTAAATGAGACAATTATATCTTCAGAATCAATATCATGTGTTCCATAAAAATGCAAGATTTTTTTGTTTCAAAGCATTTACATGTATATTCACTGCTCCATATATTTTGGATCAGTTGAACATAAATTTTTTACCATCTGCATAAATATAATGCATTGATATCCTTTCTTGTACTGATTTACTAAACATATTAATAATTGCAAACATCATGCAATATTTATTACATGTGCTCTTCCTCTATTTCTTGCATATATAGCTATCCATCATCCTTTCGGTCTACCATTTCCACAGTTCCTTTTAGTTGCCTAGGAATTCCTTTATATGATACCCAAGAATCATCTCCCAAAGAAGCACCATCATCAACAAAATAGTGTCATTTATTCCTCAGTTTATCTCTAATGAACAATATAATCAAGCTTTACAACTACTGATAGCTATGTTTTACTTTGGCTTTAATTTTATGTTAGTGGAAACAATCTTTCAATAATGCTTTCCTTTTGATTCAATGACTTTAAGGGCCCCAGTCATTTGCAACTTCATGCATTTAGTTACCTTACAGTGTTTGTCCTCTTAAATTTGTAATTATAATCATAACTATACAGAAAATATAGACCAATACATCATCCAGATCCTAGAGTGACTCAATTCAAGTGACTTCTAATGCTAAAATTGGCAGCTATTTCAGTAACCATTTCTGTTTTCATTTACTACAATTTTAACATCTATGACGTATAATACTTTGTAATATGTGTATACAACTAGTGGCTATAGTGATGTATATTTGCAAGATGATGGCTGGGTTGAGGGTTGCATGATCCTGTTTTCTGAAATGCCATGTTTGCATTCATTTCTTTTATACATTTTTCTTGTGCGAATTTGCCTTGAAATTGAGTTGCAAGGTAAAAATTGTGCTTTTTTTAATGCTTGTCTTCCTTAAATTGAAGTCAATTATTTTTTGTTGGCTAACCAAATCATATACGTCAAAATTAGTTTTTAAAGGACTGATAAGGAATGAGTCTAGAATTCTGTCTTCAAATATTATTGTAAGGCCTTCTGTTTTTATTTCTGCATAGCATCCTCAGATTTTTTTTTTAATTTACTATGAAAAATTTACAGGTTGTGGCCCCTCGGACCTTTTCATTAGTATGCTTCCGCCTTATTCCTCCGCCAAATGATCAAAATAATGGTTATAAACTCAACCATAGTTTATTGGATGCTGTCAATTCAAGTGGGAAAATCTTCTTATCACATACTGTAGGTTTTTCACAAATTGAAGCTCAGTTCATATCACCATAATTACTGTTTGATCTGTTTCCTTTTAATGGGCTTTCATAAGCAGGTTTTGTCAGGGAATTTCATCTTGCGTTTTGCTGTTGGAGCACCACTTACGGAAGATAGACATATTAAGACAGCCTGGCAGGTGTTGCAGGAGCAGGCTACTACTCTTCTAAAGGACTACTAGGTTTGAGTTTCATTGGCAACATTTATATGATTGTTCATTTGCATTCGGCACGACAACACTACAGTCTTAGTTTATTCCACTATTTACGGAGTTCCCAACAGTAAGTACACCCTACTGATCCCCACTCTTTGGATCAGGCTATAATAATCCTCTGCTATCTTCTAGCTGCAGCGAGGCCGATGTCACCAGATATCCTAGGACAGCCCAAACCATCTCCTTACTCTGACCAACACACACACACACTCAAATTTAAATTGGTTCACCTATCCTCACTGTTAGAGGACCTTCAGACATGTCAAAGCCACTACTTTAGATGGATTTCTCTTGTTATATTCTGAGGAGACTTGCTACAACACTTAAAATGGGAAGTTTTGGTTAATGTACATAAAACACTTATAAGAAAAGACCAAGAATGAGGTAAGAGAAAGAGAAAAAGACATTATTTGGTCGAGAGCTGCCCTTACCTTATCTTTAAATTACAAATTTGATAGCTTTCTCATTTTCCAAAATAGACTGTAAGATCCTGATCCCATGGTCCATATTTGGTACTCTTACCTCTCTTTGGAAAGAGAATCATAATCACTAAAGCAAACTTCCATTCTGTTGGTGCTTGTCATGTCTTTCCTTGAATACGAAATAGAATGTAAATTGATTGGACCTTTTCTTTTTGCTGTGTTGGCAGGTTCCTCGAGTGATTTTGCAAGTCTGGATCGCAGTGACATCAAGCCAATTCATTATTTTTTGGTAAACATCTGGTCACTATCAATGCTGCTATTCAAGGAATATGAAATGCTTGTATTAATCTAGTGACCAGCAGCAGTTCCTCTTAGTGATTTGAGATTACTGAAGACTTCAAATTGGATTACACGGTATTCTTCGGGATCCTTGGTGCAATTCTTCAGTTTAATGGTAGTAAGCTATATAGAGCATTGAGATCTTACTTGGAACCAACAATTTTTACTCACGCATGTATGCATACCGACTATGTTGCTTGACGATTTTTACTTCATTTTATTTCTGCTGCAGAAATGGTAGCTTTCATACATCTCATTGCTTGCACGGAGACATGCATGTTTCATACCTACTTTTCTCGTCAAACTGAACCCTGTGATGCCAAATGTGGTCTTCTCTCTCTCTCTCTCTCTCTCTCTGGAACTCTCTTTCCACTGTGGTATTAGTTTAACATGGCGTGTCAAGTGAAATGTGAATCAGCTTCTCCCAATTTCTCTGGCTCACATGTTCTAAAGCAACCTTTTCCACCTGCTTTTGCAGCCCGGCTTTCGTCGAGGGCTCAACCTGGCTAAGCTCATTCCAAATTCAAAACACAGCTCAGCATACGAGACTATCGTCAAACGTGGAACTCGAGGACAGAGAGGCACATTGCTTTCGAGACATGTGGCATCCACACCTGCCCTCGGTCACAGTACTACCACTCTCATGAACAAAAAGTTAGGATCTCGTTCATTCCCAAACAAATGTGGTCGGAATGATTTCTCGTTCTCTCTCTCTCTCTCTCTCTCTCTCTCAATCTTTCTACTGCGCTGACTTATCTATTAATCCATGAATCCTCCAGGTGTCGACGAGAAGACTTGTGGGGTTTGTCCCCGGAACCCAAAGAACTACTAACTTATTCCATGCTTACCCAAATTGGCACCCCACGAGCTACGCCAATCCAATAGATAAGGATCACTTGGACATCACGTCGGACAAGAAGCGAGGACATGTGGTAACAAGTCGCCGGTGGTGCAGCCTCTATCGACCTGCCTGCGTCCTTTTTTCTTCTGAAGTGCCCCTGCAATGGCCAGCCTCGATTAAAGCACAACCGATACGTGGATGTGAGGTGACGCCTCCGTACTTACTTTTCAATTGGATCAAACATCAAGGATGCCACTTAACGTTTGATTCTTGGAAGTGCAGCAGTGCTTGTGCTTCCGATGCTGCCCTCTAATAGATCGAACGAATCTAGCAACAGGTGTGCAATCTAGTCTGTCTCCATGCCCTACTATAATATATGTCGAACTCTTGACTATTCTGCTACACTGCATCGAAACAAAATTCCACTCTCGTCAAAGAGTCAAATTGCATGTTCAAACCGTACGAATCGAAATATGATATTTTTAGTTTCATTAAAAAGGCAATAAAAAATAAAAAATAGAGTCTTGGGTCCTTTCCGCCCTTGTTCTTTCAACCTTAAAAGGCTTGGACTTTAAGGTTCTTTCTTACTGGCATCTGACCGTAGAAAACATGACCACAGGTTTCACGTAGGATGTGTCGAGGATATACCCAAGAAAAAGAGTTGGACATTCTAGTGCTTGCACCTGAGAAGTGGCAGTGGGAGACAGCTTGCGACCAGAATCTCACTTGATACTGGTGCAGCGGAAGCAGCTGAGGCATGGACGGGCAGTTGGGTTGGGGTACTACGGAAGATGGCTGGAGAAAGGGTCCTTGGACCGTGCAAGAGGATCAACTCCTCATCGAGCATGTCACCCTCCATGGCGAAGGACAATGGAACTCGGTCTCCAAGTTATCAGGTCGGTGATCACCGAGTGTTCCTCCGATCTGAGTTCGCAGCACTGGCGCCTTCAGTTCTCAGATACTAATGGATTGATTCAGGTCTGCGGAGGAGCGGGAAGAGCTGCAGGCTTCGGTGGGTGAACTACCTGAGGCCGGACCTCAAGAGAGGCAGCATCACTCCACAAGAGGAGAACACCATACAAGAGCTGCATGCCCTGTGGGGAAACAGGTACCACTCCAAGTACCTCTTCTGCTCTCCTCACACTCTTCATCGACTCCGCGATTAACCTGCGCAGCAAGCTGCAGGTGGTCCGCCATTGCTCGAAGCCTGCCGGGGAGGACCGACAACGAGATCAAGAACTACTGGAGGACCCATTTCAAGAAGGACAACACCCCGAGGAAGAAAGCCGAGAGGGCGAGAGCCAGACTCCTCGTGAGGCAGCAGCAAGAGCGGCAGAAGCATAAGCAGCAGCAGCAGGAAGCGGAAGACATGGGGGGGACGTCGACGATGAAGCAAGTGGAGGAGGATGCCATGCGAGCGGAAGAGGTGCAGGAGATGGCCTACGTGCTTCAAGGTGGCGGTTTCCAGGGATACATGAGCGACGAGGATGGCTCGTGGGGGTGCCTGTGGAACCTTGACGACGACGACGATGCATCTGAGTACACCGAGGGTGGTAGCACATCTCAAGTGAAGGATTGAGTACATCATGTCGCTGGCAACATCATGTAGGGAGAACTTACATTAATGTATGTGGGCAGATCCTAGAAACTAATTAATGGGCAGACATCTGTAGCAAGTTTCTTCTTCGACTAATATTAGTTTCTTCATTACATAATAGTACATTACAAGGTATGATAGCACTTCGATCATACTGTTATCAGGCCTGTAGTAGATATATGAAAGAAGCAACAACAAGAAGAGCACGATTGATTGCACCATAGGTTGAAGAAGAATGAGCAATAGATTGCACGATAGATGTTGGAGAGAGAGAGAGAGAGAGAGAGAGAGAGAGAGAAAATTACCTCCCGTTTATTTATTCTACCAATGTGGCCTTCATTGCATGATTATAGAATACCAACGAATACTAGTATTTATTTTCTGATGGTTAGATGAGCCGATGCTATTTATGTTAATGTTGATGGCATCAGAGGCATAGAGAGAGAGAGAGAGAGAGCCTAAAAAGATTTTGGTATAGGCTATAAATAAGGATTTAAAATTGTTTTTAATTTAGTGAAATTGGCATTTAATGACGAAGAAAAAATTATATAGTCATCCCAAATAATTGGAACTTAAAACTCGTAATAAAAGCTCTCTTGTCGAGAAACTTTGGGCCACCTGTAACTCTATTTGTACCAACGTGCATGCAGCACATCCCTTCACTCCAAACAACATAAAGAGAGAGATCCATCGACGATCGAGAACAAAAAAGCTGCAGCTTACAAGAGCAGAAGGATTCGTGTTATGCTCAATAGAAGAAAAACGAAATGGTTCCATGATTCGTTTATGATAAGTTGTGGACTCGATAGTTCTCACATACTATTTTATTCCACGCACATACATAGTTCTAAGATGCCGAGCACCATTGATGCGTCAACGCATCTCTCCTTAGCTCACAAAAAGGTTGTAGAAGAGAGAAGGAAAAAGAAGTAAACTATATATATATACATATATATATATATATATGTATATGTATATATATATGTGTATATATATGTATATGTATATGTATATGTATATATCATGCGATCAGAAGCCGTAAACCGTCGTTTTGTGCATGTCTTAAGCTTCCTATGCTTCACCTGCTCATTGACTTCCACGACTCCATCCATGGATGAGTTCTAAGCAAGAAGCCAGAAGTTCTTGTGAGTCTTGGTGTTGAGGAGATAGCCTGCGGTTTGGCCCTTCTTTTGGACACCAACACACAGGCACTTGCTGTTCTCGATCAGGAACTCTGCCGTGTCCGGCCCTTTACTCGACATGCTTCCACTGAGCTTGCAGCTGCAAGACCAAAACCGACACGAGGTCGATCAGAGAAGCCATGACGATGATTAATTACAATCGGATATCAACATCATTCGTTTAGTAAACCGAAGGATGTATGACAACATCTCCGATTAACGCCTTCATTAATTCATCCCACCCGTTTTCTTGGTTACGATTAATGCCTGGTCACGCTTACCCCAAGAAGGAGGTGGCGTTCCGGCGCTGACCGATGACGAGGAGGTCGGCCCGGGACAGCTGCGTCTGCGTGAGAATGGCGGCCGCTTTGTCCTTGCTCTCCATCTCCACCCTCTCGATCTGCACCCTCACCGTCGGCTGCACCGCCTGGCACCTCGCCCTCATCGCGTCCAGGAACTCATAGTCGCCGCACCCGTCGCCCGCCCCCACGGCCGCGGCGACGGCGGCCTGAGGAAACAGCACCGGTGACACCGCCGAGGGCGGACGAGAGAGGAAGGAGGAGAGCGCGGAGGCGCGCCGCGCGCTCACCGGCTCGACGTGCAGCAGGATGATGTCGTCGTGCTCGAGAACCGCGTGGTAGAGCGCCCACTCGAGCGCCGCGGCCGACTCCCGGCCCGGGTCGGCGACCACCATGATCCTTCTCTTTCCCGCCGGACTCCCGCAACCGTCCATCGCCGCTGCCACCGAGGAAAGCCGAGGGCGAAGCGAATGCACTGCGCTTTCTGTTCACGGCATCGTCGTTTTCGATTCCGCCTAAGTTTGGGTGGTGGACATGAACGACCTGCGCGTTTGTTGACCTACGTGCGACTCGGTCAACGTCCACCCGTGCATGGTCGAGACATTGTAGCCCCGTAAACACAACATATAATATGTATCCTATAATAATATCATATGATAGATATTATGCGCACATAAAATATTGTATGTTCTCTTTAGAAGTGAAGACCATTGATTACGACTCGGCGATAAAGTTAAGAGTGGCATTATAGAAAGACAACGACGAGATAAAGTGTGCATTCAGAAGGTTGGTGGGTTGATTCAATCACCAACTGAAATTGATGGACTTGGATATTTTAATGCATACCAAACCCAAAGACTTGAATATTTCTCTCTATTTTGTTGCTGTTTAATTACTATTTAGGTTCAATTTCATATCCTAAATTTAAATCCATTTGTATGTGAAATGAGATATTATTTTTTATAGATATATTTAACTTCTTCTTATCATACATATATATGATAATCAATTAATATTAAAATAAATAGTATGAATAATTATGTATTTATTCGATCATTAATGAATGTGAAATCATATATGACGAACTAAAATGATAAGAAGTTAGTTTATCGGTTAGTATCATATGACTAATCTCATGAAGTCAAATCGATGTCTTAGTTAGTACTACATTATTAACTTTATAAAACTAAATCCCATATAACAATATCGAGTGAATGACATAGAGATTTTGATCATGTGAAATTTAATGTAGCATTAGGTAAAGATAATACATCAACCTAATAAGAATAAATTATGTGTAATATCTCTTTTATACATACATACATATACATACATACAGATATAGATGTATTAGTCAAACCTAATCTTTTTTATAAAACAAGTCCATCAAGTCTAAGAGATTTTTTTTGGGGAACTATTTATTACTATATATATATATTTTACATTTTTCACTATGAAATTTTTTTTCTCGAAAAAAAAAATCAGATTAGAAAAATAGAAGTAACATATACTAATTTTTCAAGACATTAAAAGAACTACATTAATAAATGATATCATCATTTTTTGTATTATCGATGATTAGAGTCTATCAAAGTAATGAATCGAGGGATTTGGTCCGGAAATTATTATCCCCTATTTCTAATTAAAACAGAATGATACGTTCTGCCTCCCTATTTGTAGCACTAATAATTTGCTTTCTTGTCATCTTCTTTGACATCCGTGACAGGAACAATATATTTGGTCCGCACATCCATCTTCAACAGTGTCCTACTCTTAACAGTGTGCCAAAGCTCCCACCCTTTCTGGGCCCCCCCTCGTCTCTAACCTTTTTTGCTGCGTGGGGCCCAGAAACCAACGGTGATGGCCGCCTCACCACCCACCCGAATGATGATGCTTACGCCCCAACAAACCCACCCTTCTGCCTCCTCCCCTTTCCTTCGATTTCTTACCCCATCTCCTCCGCTACGGCCATCGCGCCGTTTCCGCATCTCGACACGATACGTGGCGGTCGCCTTTGCGGGTTGATATTTTACGTGAGGATAGAACGGGGGTACCGTGGGTTAGTTTCGTAAATTTGGGGATGTAGGAGGTCAATTATTGCCCTGTCGATTCGTGTTCCGCAACCTTCCGACTCGGTCGCTTCGTGGTCTTATCGCGGTCGCACCGAGCTTGTACTCGACTGAGGTATCTGCCGTCGGATGCTTCCGGATCGAGGATCGACGGCCTTCGCTCGTGGCGAGAACGGCGATCGGTGGCAATATGGTGAATCTTATGATGGATAGTGGTAATGCAGTGCGGTTCGTGGTCTTACTGCGGTCGCATGGATCTCGTACGCGAACCGTTGGATGCATCTCGAGGAAGGATCGACGGTCTTCGAGCGAACGTTCTCGACACGAAGAAACATGGGAGGAGAGGATTAAAGCTGGTGGCAACACGGTGAATCTCGTGATGTATAGTGGCATATAAAGTGGGATGGAAACCACTCTCGGCTCTTTCTCGCTCTCCAGCTTGCCCTTTTACTGGCTTGCTTCTCTCTCTCTCTCTCTTTCTCTCTCTGTCTGTTTGTCTCTCTCTCGATCTGTCGATCCTCGGGAGAAGTTTGGCCCCAAATTCCACCAGATCCGATAGTTCTTACTGTCTCCCGGGGGGCGGAACCCTAATTCTTGCCCTTATTGTTCGAGATCGGCGGTCCTCTCGCCGGGGGTCCGATGGAGGAGGCATTGGAGATGGCGCGGGCCAAGGACACGAAGGAGCGGATGGCCGGGGTGGAGCGGCTCCACCAGGTCCTGGAGGCCACCACCAAGAGCCTCTCCACTGCGGAGGTCACCGCCCTCGTCGACGCATGCATGGATCTGCTCAAGGACAGCAACTTCCGGGTCTCCCAGGGGGCGCTCCAGGCGCTGTCCGCCGCGGCCGTGCTCTCCGGGGAGCACCTCAAGCTCCACTTCAACGGCCTCGTGCCGGCCGTCGTCGAGAGGCTGGGGGACGGGAAGCAGCCTGTGCGGGACGCGGCGAGGCAGCTTCTGATCACTCTCATGGAGGTTGGGGTTCTTTGCAATTTATTTATCTTTCTCTGTTCTGAAATTGGAATTTTCTTGATTCGTTTAGTTCTTAAGTGCAACAAAAGAAAACAAATGGGAACAGTCTAGTTTAATTTTATTGTTTCAAGGGTTAGATATATCTATAAAATGCATTTTTGGATCTGTTGACTCTCCGTTGAAATATCAGAAAATGCATTTTCTTAACTCGTCCAGATATACGAACTCGAATAGGCTGGATTTATATTCGTCTTCTTGGGACACGATAAATGGAATTTCGTGGTCTGTCTTAGGTTTCATATTGTATTAATAAATGATGATGACGATTTAGGGTTTCTGACTTCGCGGTGACAGCCTTTCCATGATGCCTCTTATGAGAGCTCGGTCAACCATCGAAGTTTAAAGGTTCTTTATCTGTTCTTGTTGTTGTCAATCACTGATTTTTTTTTTATGACTAACCACCTGAGTTTCCTTCTCAGATTCTTTAGTTTAATATGCCATATTTTCTGTCCTGCTTGTTTTAACTGATTTTGATCTTGATAAGAATAAGTTTGTCTATTCAACCACGCCAACACTGTGTGTGATTCTGCCTGCAATTTCCTGTATAGGATATCGACTAACAATCTGATGTTCATATGTAAGTTAGGTATCCTCCCCGACCATCATCGTCGAAAGAGCTGGTAGTTATGCTTGGACACATAGAAGTTGGAGAGTGAGGGAAGAATTTGCACGCACAGTAATGACAGCTATTGGACTTTTTGCTTCAACCGAACTCCCTCTTCAGCGAGTTATTCTTCCTCCTGTACGTGTAGCTTTTTGATTTTGAAAGGCTTGTTTTGTTGTCACATGCACGTTCATATGGAACTTCATGATGTATTTATCTATGTCCCACAAAGTGTTTTCCCCTTTGTTTGCAGGTTTTGCAGTTGTTGACTGACTCTAATCAGAGTGTTAGGGAAGCTGCTACTTTATGTATTGAGGTCAGCATGTTGTTTTTAAATGCTTTTTCAACTTCTGCATCATCTGGTGTTTAAAATGATCTGAGCAAAGTAGTGTCTGACTTTTGACACCTTTAATATGAAGTTGGATATGCCATGTAGTATGGGCAACTTTTGATATCTAGTCAGCATAGTGTTTTTTTCATCATAACATAAATGTGATTAAGATTAGAAGGGATAGATTATAATACTTAAGATGTTACCTATTTGAATGTAGTGCACAATATTTTTAAAAAATTAACTATGCGCTACTCCTAATTGCCATAATCTTTAAATGAATGGATGATGAGGAGTGACCATCTCTCAATGTGCTCATTAATTTTTTTAATGTTTCAGACTGCCCAAATGATTTCTTTCAGCCATATCTTTCCATGTATACCCATTTGAATATTCTGATAAACCTCTATGATTTATTGTCTGCGAGAAAAAAAATGCTTCAAAAAGTTTTTGCACTCATATTAGAGACATGGAAGATATTGATGTTTCATTGGATGCTCATCAGAAGTACAGTTTTAAATGATTATGGAATTATCGAACACCCTTTAGATACTTAAATGTAGTTATTGGAGGAACTTATTGGATGTATGATTTTAGTATATTGTCAGATGTTGTTTGTGTTGAGCATAAAGTTATGGATAATGAAATTAAGATGATGATCTAATATTTCTTTCCTTGTGGTCTAAAGCATCATTTTGTATAGTTAGCTTTTTTGTGATGATTATACTGTAGAGATTATTAGTTGTCATGATTCTACCATTTAAAACAAATCTTATGGATTCTCTTGTATGATATTGTGTATTTAAATATTTTTGTTGTGATATGCATAAAATATCTTATGTATGGAACAATATCCATCCTCCACAGATGTTGATGAGTTTGGTGGAACATTTCTTTCAATGGAAAAACATCATTCTGAGTGTAATTGAAGTTAGTAAGTGAAACAACAAGAGGTGCATGCTATTAGGAGAAAACACTACTTGTAGAGGGCTCAATAAATAGGAGACGAGAAGGGATATACTACTTTACTAAGTGGTAGCTAAGAAGGAAGATTAGCATGGACTTCAGAAGAGAAATAGAGGTGGGAAAGAGAAAAAAAACAAGTGATAAGAAAAAAAATGCCAACATTTTGTCAAGTCAGTCATCAATACCTATTTAATTTTCTTGGCCTAGCAGATATCACTTTGTAGACCTTTTAGATTCACGTTCTAATCAATTCAGAAATCTAAAATAGCAAGGAAAAAGAAAACTTATGATGAATGCTCTCTTTTCTTATGAGATTCATGTCCCCGGTATCTTATTTGTAAACATCGTACTTACCATATTACTATCCTTGCAGTTATTATAAATTACAAATTTATTAGCTGAATTCAACTATAAAAAATCAAATATGCTTATGAC